CCTAAAAGCTATGCATCTCTTAATGCAGCCTAAGATTGCTCTGCATTTTCCCACATCACAAAGGGAACTCGCCTCAAACTTTCAGGCCCCTAAAACCCTGAGCTCTTTTTCAGATATACTAATGTGTAATCATATCTCTCTCTCCCTCCCCCATCAAGTACATATGAAATGTCTTGGGTTTTTTTTTTTTTAACCCAAGTATAAGACTTTACTTTATCCCTATTGAATTCCATGATATTATGTACTATAATCTGGCCTCACACACTTACTAGCTATGTAACCCTGAGCAAGTCACTTAACCCTATTTGCCTCGGTTCCTCATCTGCCAAGAGGAGCTGGAGAAGGAAATGGCAAACCACTCCAGTATCTTTGCCAAGAAAACCCCAAATGGGGTCACAAAGAGTGGACATAACTGAAAATTGATTGAACAACAACAAAATGTACTATATCAGGAACTAAAAAGGGCACTTAAGAATGTCAGGAAGACCAGACCAAGTTCACACAGAAGTAATCCAAGAAATAAAATTTTTAAACACTGAGGGGTCAATTTTTAATATATCTCAAAGCATATATTAAATATACATTAAAAAAATGTTCCTAACTATATCACCCGTTTTAAAAAATAAACTAGCAAAACTTGGCTTATATTAGGTGGGATTTCATGGTATGTAAGGTTAAGAATTTTTTGTTTTTAGATTCGTTGCAGGCCTTTCAAGTAGGATATAAGGGGAAAGAGCTAGGAAAACTTTATGGCACACAGGCACAATGATGTGGAGCTGTGGATTGGTCCAGTCATTCAGGGGAGTCATTTGGGACTTCCCCAAAAGTTACTAAACAGTGCATACCCTTTAACCCAGCAATTCCACTACTAGGCATCTGCCCCAAAGAGATTAAATAAAGAGGGAAGGACCTATGCATACAAAAATATTTATAGCAGCTTTTTTCATAGTAGCCAACATTTGGAAGACAGGGAGTGTCTTCCCATTGAAAAATGGCTAAGCAAATTATGGAATGTGAATGTAATGGAATTATGCCATAAGTTCTGCCAAACTAAACAGTAGCAACAGACACTGGGAAGACCTCTATGAATGATGCAGATCGAAGTAATCGGAACCAGGAGAACAGTTTATACAATGATAACAACATTATAGAGAAAAACAACTTTGAAAGACTTTAGAACTCGGATCAGTACCCTGATAAATCACAAGTCTAGGAGAAAGAAGATAAAATATACTACCCACCTCCTGCCAGAAAAGTGATAAACTTAAAATGCAGAGAGAGAAATATATTTTCAGGCATGGACAGTGAGGGAATGTGTTGTGCTGAACTACGCAAGTTTATGATGAAGGCTTTATTTTTCCAGGGTTGTTGTTATTGTCGTTCATTTAGGGGGAGAGTGTGTCGGAGAGACAAATTACAAATGCCCATAGAAATAAAAAATAAATAAGTTGTAAAGGAAAATACTTTCCCCAAAAGTACCATCTTTTTCACAGTCAGAGATAGTACAACGAATACTGGACTTGAAAACAAACCTGGGTATGAGCCTGGCTCTGAAATCCACTGCCATGAGATCATGGGCAAGTCTCATTACCTTTCTAGGCCTTAGTTTTCTCATCTCTAAAATGGGTGTAATACCTTCTATACCTGTGATGAATGGGCTCTTTTTCAGAAAACATAGAAGCACAATTGGTTATATTTATGTAGCACTTTTAGGTTCGCAAAACACCTTTACACACACATTGCCTCATTTGATCTTCACAACCACTCTCTGAGATAAATGCTATTATTTTACATAGGAGGAAATTAAGGCTCAGAGTTCCCTAGGGTCAGAACTAGGATCATTCAGTTAATACGTACATGAGGTGGAATAGAACCCAGGTCTTTCTGCCTCTAAGTGCAGCAATATATCTACTACTCATGCTGACTCCACAAAACTGTAAAATACTTCCTGTGTATTGTTATTAATATTACCACGTGTGCTCTCTAAGGCTTCTACTTCTTCCTTTTCCTTTTCCCAAAATCAGATTCAGATAATACGTTAACAACCAAAGGAAGCTGGCCACTTCATCTTCCCATTTGTATTATCTGAAAAAGATATGTACAGAATGCATCCTGAATTGTATTTTAAAATGCTACTCTTTGTTGAATTAAATGTAGCAGAAAAAATATTAGATTATTTTTCCTTCAATGTAAAGGTTAACTGATCCCTCTATTGCTCTATATTGTAAACAGTTTAATATAAATGGCTTATGTGCCCTAGTCATAACTGTGAGCATCCCAGAGTTTTTTGTCTTGTTGCCTCTGGGTATGGAATGGCATTGCTCATTTATTACACACATGGCCTTCTGTGAGCCTTTGTGGACAGTCATGTCAACGGACAACTGCACCAAAGTCGCAGAAGTGTGTGCTTTGTTTTGATTTATGGTCATAGCAGCTGCATTGAAGCTCTTAAAATGAACCCATAAGGCACTGCAGATGTTGAATCCAGGTGTGAGAAATGCTTCACCCTCCAAGGTGACAAAGACTATAGATCTATGAAACCTTCAGACATCATTGGAAACTTAGAATCCTACTGAGAATTTTGACACATTTCAGACTACAATGAGCCTATCAAAAAGAGGGTCTCCGAGATATTTGTTTTCTTAATAAGGAGTATATAGTAATACATCTATATCTATACATAATTTAAGAGAGCATGAGAAAATCTGTCCATTTGAAAACTAGTGTTTCTATCTGTGAATGGCCACACGGTCTTCGCCCAAATGCAGATGACTATTTAAGGAATTCCAGACTGTCAGGGGTATGATGAAAGGGCCCAAAACATCCTCCAAAGGAAGGCACCAGGAACTTAGCAGTAGACAGTTCCACCAGCAACACTAACAGAAATGAGAGAGATTTTTTTCTTTACAGCAGAGGTTCTTAAGTTTTTGGGGTTTTTTGGTTTTGGTTTTTGGTTTTGGGGGGTTTTTTTGTGACATGCACCCCTAATGAAGCCTGTGGACTCCTCATGGGATTACAAAGGAAACCAATTTAATTGAAATACAATCATCAATATAGGGTTATGTGCATTATATATATATATACATATATATATATAATATGTTTCTATGGAGACAGATAGATAGATGATGGTGATAGGTAGAAAAATAGACAGATCAAGCAGATAAATTTAGAAAAGAATAGTTCCCACATCTCAGATTAAGAACTTTTGCTTTAAACCATTACCTCTTTCAAATACTTGCCATCTGTGGTGAGGCATCTAAATAAAAACACTGTCAGTAAGCTGTTTAGAGGATAGCATTTAATTTTACATTTACTACAATGAAAGTAATTTCAAAATATTAGCTATGTAGAGGTAGGGCATGTCCATAGCTTAGTCTATTACAATGTCCAATGTGGCATGATTTTTGCTATGAATTCCCATTGGCTTCACCTCCCTCCATTACAGGCTATTCCTCTCAGTTTTTGATGAAGTTACCTTCTTTCCAGCTGTACCTCAAAAGCAACCCATATTAGAATGTGAGCTCTTTGAGGGCAGGGACCATGTTTTGCCTTTCTTTGTTTCCCCAGTGCTTGGCACAGTTCATGGCATACAGTAGATGCTTGTAAATGTTGGTGACTAAGTGACTGACTTTATGACTGCCTCCTTTACTCTTATTCTACGTACTTTCTCTTCTACCGTCTGTTTTATTTGCCTTCTGTCTATGATTTCAGCAGGCCAGCCTTGCTTAGTGACTCACAGATGTCAAAAATGTTGTTGAGCATTCTGGAAAACAATTTGGAACTATATTCAAAAAGCTATTAAACTGTCTTTGACCTAGTAATGGCATTACCAGGGGTCAAAGGAAGAGAAAAAGAACCCACATGTACAAAAAAATATTTGTAACAGCTCTTTTAGTCATGGAAAAAAAAATTGGAAATGGAGGGATTGTCCAACAACTGGGGAATGACTAAACAAGTTATGGTATATGAATGTAATGGAATACTACTGTGCTATAAGAAATGATGAAGGGGATGGTTTTGGAAAAAACCTGGGAAGGCTTGTATGAACTCATGCAAAGTGAAGTAAGTCGAACCAGGAGAATAATTTAAACAGTAACAACACCAAAAAGACAAACAATTTTGAAAGATTTGTGAACCAATCACGATTCTAGAGGATTCATGATAAAACATGCTACCTACCTCCAATAGAGAGATGATGGACTCAGAGTACAAACTGAGGCATATATATACATATATATGTATATGTATGCATGTATGTATATGTGTATATATTTGTGTGTGTGTACATATGTATATGTATGTATGTGTAGTATATATGTATGCATATATAGTATGTGTGTGTATATGTATGTATATATAGAGAGAGAGAGAGAGATGGCTAATGCAGGAATTTGTTTTGCTTAACTATACATGTTTACAACGGATTTTATTTTTCTTGCTTTCTCAAGTGTGGAGGAGAGGGAGGTAGGATGGAGAGATTTCAGCAATGAAAATAAGATAAAATTGAAGTTGTTGTTTTTTTAAAAAAGAGTACAGAAAAAAATTTCTGAGCTTATTAGAAAGCCAAATTTATTTGTAAATGTTAGCACCACTCTTGCAGGTAACTCAGAGTAACATCTATCCTCTTGAAACTAAGCAGAATTTATTATTGTGTTATCGCCCAAATGCCCACCTCCCTATAAAAACCGTATGTATTAGCTGCACCTTCCAGAAATGAGGAGTGGGAGGGGAAACCACTATGAAACAGGAAGCCAGGGAGTACTGGTTATAGGAATGTCCAGAGTTAAGAGAGGAGGATGGTCAGAGTGGGAATTCAGAAAACAGCAAGGCATGCCACAGAGGCATCTCATAAGGGAGAAAGACATTCATTTCTGACATCAGTATACATTTCAGTCAGTAACTGGTAAGCAAAACAAACAAAAACAAAAGGACAGAGCACTTCCCTATTCATGAATTTGTGGCTAAATGCAGCTAAAGCTTGCTGTCCCTTTTTCCAGGTTGATGCTCACGGCAACATTCTTCTTAGCACCCTGGAAATAAGGAACGAAGGCAGTGGTTCAGAAGTGCTTACGAGTGCTAGTGACCCCAAAGCCACCATGTATTCCTACGACAGTGCAAGCATACAGTACCGGAGGCCCCCCACCAGCCGAGAGGCCTATGGTCGGAGTGCTCTGGATCGGCACGCCATTCACAACAAGGGGCGTATCCGGAGGCGGGCATCGCAGCTTAAGGTCAAGATCCCGGATTTGACTGATGTGAATTCTATAGACAAGTGGTCAAGGATGTTTTTTCCAGTCACTTTTTCTCTTTTTAATGTCGTCTATTGGCTTTACTATGTGCACTAAATTCTTTAAGGATAACATAATTTAGATCATTACCCTCCTCTATTGTTCTTTCTAATCTAGCAGGTCCCTAGCAGCTACACTGCTATATTTTTAAGGTAAGATATTCAGCCATCCACTTGGTTTTAGTTCCTACATATCAATTTTATTACTGTACCATGTTTACTTCAAATGAGAACAGTATTTCCCCCCTAGTACATTTCGGTCCAGATTATTAGCTCTTTGGGAGCAGCTTTGAAACAATCACTATTTATCACCATGTTTACAAAAAAAAAAATTACAACAACAAAGAGATCTAGGGCAACTTTTCCTAATATCTCTCAATTTGATTTTTTTCTCCTTTTTTAAAAATGAAAATGAAAAGAAAACCTTCCTCTTTTCCTGTATTGCTTCCTGGTGATCTGTAACATCACGCTGCCAAAAAATAAATAAATAAATTCTAATGTCTCAGAACAAGCCATTGACAAGTTACAGATTCTCAGGAAATCTCTGTTCCCTCCACCCCACAACAGAGGGAAAACAAGGAATCCCAAAGAGAAAAAGATTCTCCCACCCACCCCACTCCCAGAATCTACTCTATACCTAGTGTGAAGGTTTTCCTAATCTGTGGGGTGGAGAGTAGAGGAGGTAGGGGTGGAAGGGAGACAGAGACGTCAGCAATTTGCCTTTAATTGTGCTTGTCCCGAGTTTGTATCAAGGTCCTGCATTGCCTGCTTAAATGATGTACTATACCTTTAAGCTAGATCCTCTGGAAAGGACTTATTGATAGGATTGTCAGGCAAAATGTAAATTAACTTTAGATCCAAGCTTGTTTGTTATTGTGAACATCTTTTCTTCTTCTGACTTAGAAAATTTTGTGGCATTGTGCCATTTTTCTAAAAGACTATTTCAACTGAAAAGCCCTTGCCTCACATCATTCATCCCTTCCTTGATGCTCTCCTATCATATTATAAAGTCCTTGCTCCAGATGAGAGAAAAACGTAAAAAGACAGAGACAGAGACACACAAAGAGATAGAAGAATGCAGAGACTCACAGAAAGACACCAAGTAGAACACAACTGGAAAAACAGAGACACACAGATACATCAAGAGGCAAACACAAACAAAGACACATAAAGGGGAAGGGGAGAAAGAGAGAGAGAAAGAAAGAGAGAGAGAGAGAGAGAGAGAGGAAGCGAATATCTTATTGAGAAATAATTTTCTCCTTTCCATAGGGGAGGCAAGACGAATATGCTGAGAAGGCATGTGAACTGCCAAACATAACATGAAAAAGTAGGTATTTCTCAGTGTTTCGAGAAGCATTGTCTAAATCATGTACTGGTTACAAGATTCAGAGGGAGTTTGGAAGCAAGATATTAGATTACTGCTGGTTAGTAAAATAAATGTAAATATTCTACATGTGCTCCAGAATATAAAATGTAAAATGAATCCTCTGGGACAGTTCTGAGAAAACCAAAACAATTGTTCTCCTATTCTACTGGTTAGTAAAATAAATGTAAATATTCTACATGTGCTCCAGAATATAAAATGTAAAATGAATCCTCTGGGACAGTTCTGAGAAAACCAAAACAATTGTTCTCCTATTCTACTGAGAACCTTTCTCCATTTTCAGAAGACCTCATTGGAGCACGGTTAGTTTCAAGGGAAAAAAAAATAATCAGTGGGCCTGCAAAAATGGCCTTCTAGGAACAGGAAAATATCACTTCAATTTCACCTCTACACTAGAGGAGGGAAGCCTCACCTGCTCTTCCCTGCCCCACCCCCAGTTCCTCACCATGCCCCTCCCTCCTTCCCATACCTACCTGGAGGAGAGGTGACCACTATTTGCCAAAGGCATGAAGGTGCCTTGGTGGCACCTGCCACCTTCCCCTCTTCTCTCTCTCCTTCTTGCCTCCAACTTTTCAGAGCCCTACCACTCATGCAGATGGGATTCTTTCTCTCTCTCTTCCTCATTTCCTACACACAATGGTACATACAGACGTCATTAAACATTCTTAGTTACCTTTAGCTCATGTCCAACCCAGGGAGAATCAAGGCTGAACATTGTGGAGAAAATAAATATTTAGCCTTCAACTGGTCATTTTATTCATGTGCTTTAAAGTGGCCATAACCTATTAAATTGCTTAAATAACAGAAGGAGCTGGGGGAAAAAAAAGAAGGAAAATGGTGTGGGCAATTATGTCCTGCTATAGCCTTAGAGATAGATGTCCAGCTGTTCAAGTTTCCCAAACATTGAAGTAGATTCTCCAGTGTAGATACATCATAGATGTTACTGCACATTCATCCCTTTGCATTCATGTTACTTTGGCCATAATGTTACACATGATGTGCATTACACTTACCAGCTTTAGGAGGCAGATACTCAGGTAAAAACATGTTGAGGGCTGGAACTACCTGAGAGAGCTTTGCCTCCATTCTCTTTTGCCAAATAGAAGCAGGAAACTGGCTGGTCATGTTGCTGGTGGAATGAGGCAAAATGTTCTCACAGTCCAACCTTTCTAGTGCTTTACACTGGGAAACAGGAGAAGGAAATACGTCATGTGCAAAATGACACTGGTTCATGGGTCCAAGGGTGGGATTTTCTTAAATGAACATTATGTATGATACTTGGAAATATTCTCAAGTACATTCCATCTTTCTGAAGTTGGTGACTATTTTATAACATCTGTTTGAGAAGCTTAATTACAACTTGCCAAATGAAAAATATATTTCTAATGCCAGACAGAAAGAATCTCCAAGATATCTTATGATGATGTCGATTCCTTAGCATCTTACCAAAGGGTGATATTCCACTGTCTTTTCTAAACCAAGTATAATCAAAAAAGTGTTTGTTTTGGTTCACTTTGGTTCAGTTGGCAATTGTGGTGATGGGAATGACAGAATAAAATGTCTCAAGAAAGAAAAAGCATGCCAAGATAAAAATTCTAAGAGGGGTGTGGAATAATACCTTAGCAGCCTCTAGCAAGGCGGATGTAAATGCTCATGTAAATTCTGTATATAGTTCATTGAAATGTTCTGTCATCTTATGTTGTGTGTGGTTGACCATGGCTTTGAATGGATGCTTAAAAAACCTGAGACCTGTAAATAGTATTCCCGTGTTCTGACAGCTGCTTTCAGTGCTAGCCCGCATGGTCACCATTCGGGCCCAAATCAGAATCTTTCAGCTCTTGTTCATTCTCAGCCATTTTCTGGTGCAGTTCTGTGATCCTGCTGCAAGGCATCGCAAGGTCCATGTGTTCAGTGCCTCCCCCCTCCCCCTCTCCCACTGGCTGGGGCAGCGGCTGTTGAGCGTGTCTAACGGAGATGGGGGGGAATCAGCAACACCAGCAGAAACGGCTAGGCCTGCCAGTCACTGCTAGTGCTGCCTCATGGGAAGTAGAGGGTGTAACTCCTGAGAGTTTATTTAATGCCTATTTGTTTATCCAGATCTCAATTATCAGTGCTTACTAAAGGGGGTCAGGGATGGGATGAAAAATTGAAATCTACAAATAACCCAAAGCCTCAATTTTGCCAAATCCTTGGGCTTCTATTGTTCTCCCCACCCAATTTCCTTTTTTTCTTTTCACCTGATTTACTAACTAGGAGTCAAAAGAGAAACTTTTAGTTTTCTAGAACCTCCTGGTTTTTCTAGCTTTATAAAAGTTTCACTATGGTTGCTAATAAAAGATTAAATGCTCAAAGAGAGAAGAAAAGGGAAGAGAAGCAAAGGATGTGGAATCCACACAGACCCAAAGGAAACCACAAACTAATCCAGCTATAAGAAAATATGGATAAGAAGGTATCTGTGCTCCTATAATATGTCATGTGGGGCCATCCAAGCCCCAGGGGAGACACTAGTTCCAGAGAAATGCACTATTTCAATGTATCTGGTTTTGGAGTATCATAGAAAAAGCAATAGATTTGGAGGTAGAAGACTTGACTTCAAATCTAGGGTTTACCATTTATTAAAGTATAACCCAGTGAAAGTCAGTTCCCCCAAGTGGGGATCAGTTTCCTTTTATGTAAAATAAAAGGATTGGATGATCTTCTAAGGCGCCACACAACTTTCATATCCAGTTAAATCTCTGTCATAACAAGTTTTTTGGCATGTAAAGGAAAGATTGATAAGAATACATTTTGACTCCACCTTGCTGAGCTTACGTGGAGGGAACTCAGTTTGACTGACAGCTATCAATTCTCAACCAGTCTATACAATCTGAAAACTACGTAGATTTTTCTAGATATGTAAACATAAAAAGTTGATACCGTAATCATCATGGACTATAAGGATGCTAAGACTGAAGTTGGTTTTCTTTTTTTCTTCCTCCTTGAGTTTTCATATCCAAAGAAGGAACTCATAGTAGTTCCTGGTTTACCCTGCCCCCCCCCAACATGTATCTATCCTCATCCTGGAGTAATAAAAGCAAATCAGAAAAGTTAGTAAAGTAAGAAATGGGTAGGTGGGGGGGAAGGTGGTTGAATTTGTGGTCCAATTTGACAGGACAACGATACTCACAGAACAACTCTGCCTGCCTTGCCTGCCACGTAGACAATCAAAACTGAGCATCCAAATAACAGTATATTTGCCTCAGGTAGACATGGTCACAAGATCAAACCCATCACTGAGAGAAGTTGGAGAGTACCAAGGATTAACACCCCACTCTTTTATGAGGGGTATATAAGCAGAGGTATCTGGTAGTACCCCACTTCTACTCCCAAACCAGTAAAGGGAGGAGAGAGGTCTATTTCCAGGCATGGCTTTTTTTTCTGAATGCCAATTATTGAAATTTTAAAACCATATATGCATATTTAATCCTCTTGGCCTTCCTTTCTAAGAACATCTATTCTGTGCTAGTTCCTTGTCCGGAATTTGTTTCATTTTGCCTCAGGTAACATGATTGAAAAGACTTACTTTCTAAGGGGATTTTTTTTTCTTTTTTCTCATTCCCAACTTTCACAAAGTATCTTGAAAACTCAGCCCATGAGCATCTTCATTTCATCAGGTTTGGATATCTTCTAGTCATACATAGTCTTCACCAAAAAAAAAAAAAATGGCTTTTAAAAAATCTCCTCAGACTCCTGCCTCAGTTGCCTTATTCTCTAAGTAGCTACTTTTAAAACCTTTGGGGGTGGCATTTGGGACTACATTAGTCACTACCACTGCCATTCTCTTCCATATTATTTCTGTGTATTTCTATATATGTGAGGAGTGCCCACCTCCTGGAATATCTGAGTGTGTTAAGAAACCTCCTATTTCAGTCCAATTCCAAATTAAGTAGGAATATCCTTGCTTACCCTAAACTAAGTCTATGGGAACCCATGGGATTTATACCAGATCACTGAAATATCCACACAAAGATATTCCCTCTGAAGTTCTTTCTATCTCTAACTCAATAATTCTATGACAACCTCACCTTGAATTTCATATATGTAAATAATATTGTGAAATAACACTATATCTATCCATAGCTTAATTAGGACAAATTTTAATCTGAATAATTTACTCCTTTCTATTTTAATCATTCAAGAATGGTATACCTCACTGTCACAAAATGCTTTATCTTTTCCCATTAGACTGGCAGATAAAAATACTAATTTTAATCTTGTCCTTTGCAGATGACTAGGTCTATGTTCTACCCCATGTCCCTCTCTCCCCAGCCTTGTAGTAGTTCTTGCCAAGTCACAAATAAAAATAAGTAACACATTTATAAAAAGTTAAATAATTGCAAGACTTGAAGGGGAAATAATATATTAAAGAAAAAGCACTGGAGTGGGAATTAAGAAAACTAGAACCTGGTTCTGGATTGGCCGCTAAATACATTTTTGACCTAGAATAAAACACAATGGTTTGTGGGCCTTGAGTTCCTCATTTGTGAAATGAATGGCTTGGGCTAAGATGATCTCCAGCCCTAAAAATCTATAACGTGATGAAGTCTCTAAGTCCTACATGTCTATCTAAGTAGAGAAGCCGCATTGTGTATTGGAAAGAGCATTGAACTTTGGGACTCAGAGAATCTAGGTTTGAGTCTTGGCCTTGCCACTATTAACTGTGAGTCCTTGGGAGCAAGTTCTTAGATCTCTCTAGGTCTGTTTGCTCACCTGGGAGATAAGGAGAGGGGGAACCAAATTATCTGGTAGGCACCGTCTATCACTAAAATCATAGATCTTCAGGACTAACAGGTTAAAGATAATTGAGTCCAAACTCTTTTTTATGCTTTTTGCAGATGAAGAAAGCAAGACTCTGAGAAAGTAAGTGATTTACCCAAGGTCACACAGCTAATAAGTAGGGAAAACAGAATTTGGACCAGGGTCTTCAGAATCCAAACCCAATGGGATTTCCATTACAGCACACTACCTGACATCTGGCCAATTACTGAATTTGTTACATTGTTCTATTTTTTTCCAAGCCTCAATATTTATCTTTCCATGTACCATAACTCTAACAAATATAAAGATTTGTTATCAGTTCTCTATTTTTATCATTCTGACCTAAAATTTCTTTATACCTTTTCCTGACCCTTTAACCATTCATCTTAATTAAATTTGGTCCATTTCAACAAGTATTTCTTAAAACATCCAATGTGTACAAGGTACTATGTGAGGTCCTGGGAATCCAAATTTGGGAGCAGGAAGAGAGGGGGATGATAGCCCTTGTTTTTCAAGGAACATACATCCTTCCAAACAGAGTCTATAAAGAGGGGCCATGTATAATAAAACTGAAAAAGTAAGTTGGATTCAGATGTAGAAAGCCTTAAATTCCATTCCTAATGACAAGAGAGACCTAGGAAAGATTTTTGAGCAAGCGGTGACATGGTCAGAACAGTGGATTTGGAAGATTATTTTGGCAGGGAGGATCATAGAAGGAATAGGTTAAAGGAAAGGAGCTCAATTAGATCGCTACTAAAATAGTCCAGGTAAGAGGTGGTAAAATTCTAAATTAGGATAGTGACCATGTAAATAAATAAGGGGATGGACAGGAGAGATATAGTCAAGGTAGAATCCGTAGAGCTTGGCAACTGATTGGATATGGACGGGTGAGGGAGCCAGAAGAATTGAAATTTTTAGAGGTTATGATCTAGGTGACTGGTTTCCTATTCAACAGAAATAGGGAAGTGTGGAGGAAGGACAAGTGAAGAGGTCAGTCTTAAAAATAAGAATGGCTATTTCTTCTTCTGAGACCAAAGCAAAGAAGAAGACAGTGAAAATAGAGGTACTGAGGTGTGATGTAGGGAAAATGAAGGAGTTCACAAGAAATGGCCTTAATTTTCTCAGTAGAACAGGAAGTGATATCCTCTTGGGGTGCTAAGGGAAGAATAGGGGCCACAAGTTAGAAATCACTTCTGAGTGTGTGATAAAGAAACAGTGGGAAAGAATAAAACAGTTGCAATTGGGCCAGGATTCAGTCTAAACTCTATAAGGGATCATATGATTCAGAGCCGGAAGGAACTTCAAGGAAAGGCCCTGTCTTCTAATTATCTGTATCCTACAAAGTAACGGTCTGTAAATGTTGACTGACTGTCTACACTACTCAGTCAACTGTTGACTGAGTGTCTTCAGTTCCTGTTTACATAAATGAGTACTGGTTGTCCCAAAATATACTAACAATACCTCTTCTGAAGGACAAGAAGAAGGGTAAAGTGGCTGTTGGATACTGCCCTTTGTTTGCTGGAATATCAAAGGTTGCTTTCTAAACAATTGCCATGGATGGAATAAATACAAAGAAATGGCCAGACTACCCTGTTGAGACCCCCACCAACTGATAATCTCAGATACCACATGCCCTCTTCGATGAATTTTTTTCTATTTTTTCCCCTTGTTTAATTTTATTCCTTTGGTCAACCAAAGCCTCTCTTCATAGATTACGTGCTCATAAAGTTGTGATTGAACTATGAGTAATTTATGGCATTAAGCACTAAAGGGACCCCAATATGAATCCTAAGGGGAATCACAACAGGGGACATCCTCTGCTAACTGTGATGGTAATCAGAGAATAATTATGAGACCTGAAAACTAATCAAGAGGCCATTTGGTCCTTGATACACTCCTAAGACTTCATCTAGAATCCCTATGATAAAAATCCTTTTTCATATGCTCCTTAATTATTAATCTTC